GATAAGATCTAGAACCACCTGGGACATGGGCCTCTAGGCACACTTTAGGGGGCTCTCTTGATCAGGTTAATTGAGGTGGGAAATGTTTGAGCTGGGGGGGATGGGAGGAGAGGGTGTGAGGGGTTCCCTGCGGGTGTCATACAGGAGCCGTGCAGAGATGAGAATAGAAAATCAGTGCAGATTGACTTCTTCAACCTAATCAGACCTCGGAGAGTCTGAGCCAGGCTGTGCATTGCCAGGATATTTAAAACAGTGCAGTTTGGGAGAAGTTTCCAGGCAACAAACAGTTCAGTTCCAGGTGCACAATAAAGCTTAAGGGGTGACTACATCGGGACTCCACGGTTTGTGTGACCGTGAGGGCTGGTTCTTTAGCTAAAAGGCCTAGAATCTGGTGTGGCCTCTGGCCGATGACATAGAGGTCACCAGGCCACAAGGTACCAGTGACAGCTCGCCTAAGGGAGGAAGGAGTCTGGAATAATCATTCTGGGGAATTAGGGCAAGGTCTGTCACTCAAAGAGAGCAAAAAAGAACACTCAGCTTTGTGGATGGAATACAGGTATTTGATTTTTATCTCCTCCATCTGGGCATGTTTAACATTCTGGGTTCTCTTAGTGCTTCTCTGTGGGTACAGGGTCCTCTGTGCCCCCAGCAGTGCCTTTAACTGAGCACTTGGGCGGCTGAGGCAGGCAACAGAGAGCTCACATAGTGAGTTCCAGGACAACCAGGGATATACAAAGAAATGTTGTCTCAAAAAACAAACAGAAAAAGGAAAAAAGTTTTAATTTTTATCTTTTATTTTTTTTTTGAAACAGGGTTTTACTATACAACTCTGGCTATCCTTGAACTCACTGTGTGGACCAGGCTGACTTAGAACTCACAGGGATCCACCTGCCTCTGCCTCACAAGTGCTGGGTTCAGAGGTGTGCACCACTGCACCTGCTGAAAGTTTTAAGTCACAAAAATGAAAGGGACCCCTGTTATGGTTTAAGTAAAATCTGAGTCACGATACCAGTGTTATGGTAAAAGTAAAATGCTGCAGGTCCCTGAGTGGCTGCAGTAGGCAGCAGGTCCCCAAAGTGGTGGCAGGCAGTGGGCCATGAGACCACACCACAGAAGTGGCGGCAGGCAGTGGGCTGTGGGCCCTGAGAGCAGTCCCAGGCAGGGAAGGCACAGTTCCCCAAGTGGCTGCAGTGGGCCACGAGGGGCAGCAAGTCCCAGGCAGGGAGCTGCATGGTTAGTGAGAGACCTTGATGGGTCAGCCAGTCCCACGAGGAGAGACAGATAGATGGGCACACCACGAGACCACACCACAGGTCCACAAAGGCGGCTGTCCTGGGCAGGAAGCCATCTACAGGGCAAGAGATAGGCATGCCATGCAGAGTGAGGTTGGATATTTATTTAGTGAGTTATGGAGGCGAAAGAGGAGGAGGGAAGAAGAAGGGAGAGAGAGAGAGAGAGAGAGAGAGAGAGAGAGAGAGAGAGAGAGAGAAAGGGGGCAGGAGCCACACCAGCAGCTACCTCTCTGAGAGAGACAGAAAAGGGAGGAACTCAGACTGGAAGCCGAATAGAATATCAGCTTGCCTAGGCCAAAGCGGGGAGGGAGTAGGCGTGACTTGTCTCTTAAAGAGACAGGACAGATCATTACAGCCACATGTAGTGGCTCATGCCTTTAATTCCAGTTGGTATCTCTGAGTTAGACATCAGCGTGGTCTACTAGCATGGTCAGGCTAGCCAGGGATAGTTATTTAGTGAGATCCTGTCTTAAAAAAGAAAAGGTGGGGGGGGGGGCGCCACCAGCAAGATGGGGGAGTAGGAAGCCTTGGGTCTTTTCCTTTCCTTTCCCCCTAGGTCCTGTGGGACTGTGAACGATCTGTGTCTCAGCAGTCTCCATCAGTTCTGGAAGAGGCTAGCTACGCAGGAAGAGAGGAATGGCAATTTAGGCTTTAGGTGTCTGACCTAGGGGAAGCAGACAAAGACTATATTCCTTAGAAGGACAAGAGTCAGAAGGCCCCAGATTCCCTGGCCAGGCTGTCTATCTGTGTGTCTGTCTGTCCCAAGGCCAGTCCATGAAGGCTGGGAGTGATTCTTGCTTTGTCTGATGCACAGACATCAGAAGACAGAGTCAGAGAAAATGTAAAGTCAGCAAAGATTTTCACAGAGACATACAAGATTAATTGCCTGAAACCAATTCTGGGGAATCAGAGCTAAATGGCTTATCTGACACAAAATTAAAAATAAATCTTATAAAGAAGCTCACTAGGGTCAAGAGAACAATGCATGCATAAAGAGAATTTAAGCAGACAGAAATAAGAGGTACCATGGAATTTCTAGAGTTGAAAAACATAGCAACTACACTGAAAAGTGTACAGTAACAGGGTTCATACTAGGTCAAGAGGAAAGGATCAGCAGATGCAAAGACAGGTCCCTGAGAACAGTTCCAGCAGAAGCAGAACAACCTAGAATCAAGAAGCCTGGGTAGTAGTAAGGAAATCATGGAATCCCAGGAAGCCCCCTGACTAATGTGTGGGTATATACTCATTGCGTGCGTGCGTGCGTGCGTGCGTGCGTGCGTGTGTGTGTGTGTGTGTGTGTGTGTGTGTGTGTGCGCACCTGTGTGCTAGAAGAAAGGGAAGGGTAACTGGGTGTGGTAACACATGGTGTGTGTGTGTGTGTGTGTGTGTGCGCGCCTGCATGCTAGAAGAAAGGGGAGGGTAATTGGGTGTGGTAACACATGATGTGTGTGTGTGTGTGTATGTGTGTGTGTGTGTGTGTGCCTGCATGCTAGAAGAAAGGGGAGGGTAACTGGGTGTGGTGACACACACCTTTAATCCTAGCACTCAGGAGGCAGAGGCAGGTGGTGCTCTGTGAGTTCAGGTTAGCCTGGTCCACAGAGTGAGTTCCAGGACAGCTGGGGCTATCCAGAGAGACCCTGCTCAAACAAACAAATAAAAAATAAATTAATTAACATGTGAAGCTGTCAAAAAAAAAAAAAAACAAACCCAAAACTAGGTAGCTATGACTGGCCTGGAACTGACTCTATAGATGAGGCTAGCCTTGAGAGAACCACCTTGTCTCTGCCTCCCGAGTGCTGGAATTAAAGGAGTGCATCACCACACCCAGATAAATCTATTTTATTTTTACTGGAGCACATCACTAGATAGCATATTTGGTACCTAAGACTCTCTTCCCTTATAGGGAATTCAAGAAGTTTGACAAACCCAGCAAGAAAAAAGTGTTCAGCCAGGGGCTGTGGGAGACTGAGATCAACCCAGTCCAGGCTTCCAGTTGCCAAGTCCAGAAAGGAGCCATGTGGAAGTGCTGGGGCTGGAAGGCACCTAGGGCCATGGTGATAGGAAGGGCAAGGTGTAGCATGTCAGTGATGAGGGGGACCGGCCACAGACGGGTGACTCAAGGAGAAGGGGGGCTGCTGGAAGTCTTCCCTAAATGCCTTATGAAGACAGGGACCCCAGAAGGGGCAGATAAGTTAAGTGGACACCCTGGAGTGTGGGAGGCCCATTCTGTGCAGGTAGAGAATTGCGTACCCTCTGGGTCAGACTCCAGCTGGGAGCCTCCTACCTAAGGAAGGAGAGGCAGCCAAGGGTGAGCCAGAGAGCATCTCTGCGCCTATCTGCTGCTGTCCTGGTGTCCCTGGGGAAGCTGCCAATCGCCTAATCCTTGGGGAGCATCTTTCTCCTGCTCCTCCATGCCATTCATTTCTTCCGCTGTCCTTTGGGGACTGTTCTGGCTCTCACCTCCTGCCCCACCCTGTACCTCTGCTTTATGGGATGAGGTGAGGCCAGTGTGTCTTTCTGCTTAAATCTGTTTCTCTGGATTTATTAGAGTGACTTACAGGCTGGCCCAGCTGGTCCAATAATGAATGGCTAACTAGAGAAAGTCCAAGGATCCAGTAGCTGTTCAGTCCACAGGGCTGGATATCTCAGCTGGTTTTCATTATGTGCCAGAATCTCAAGGAAGTAGGCTCTAATGCCAGTGAAGGAATGGACTTGCTAACAAGAGCAAGCACACGAAGAATGGCAGCTTCTGTGGCCTGTGTAGGCTGCCAGCAGAAGGTGTGGTCCAAATTAAAGATGAGTCTTCCCTCCTTGAAAGATCTGGATGAAAGGTGCATCTAGACTCTGGGCTGGGTTGGGTAGGTGCAGACAGGATGGAGCGTAAGCATCAGGGTTGGGGTCCTGGGACCTGGAAGGGGCAGTCCTCCACTTGAAGGAGGAGAACAGGAGTGGCGTATCTTGACTGGCAGTCCCCTTCCCATATTTATTTTGCCATCTGTCTACATTGAGGAAAATAAGCCTGTGAGAGAGGTTCCCTTCCTCAAATCCTTGATGATTGTCAACACCCATTCTTCCTTTCGTGTGTGTGTGTGTGTGTGTGTGTGTGTGTGTGTGTGTGTGTGTGTGACCAGAGAAGGCCACTGGATTCCTTGTCATGGAGTTGGAGTTACAGGCATTTGTTAATCACTGAGTCAAATTTTCAGCCCCTCACTGTTCTAATCCTGTAATTCCCCTAGGATATCTAATTCCTTTCTGGTTTAGATTTTTTTTTCTTTTTCTTTCTGTTTTCCTATGGAAAATAAAGATTTAATTCTCTGAACTGCCAGTACTTCTGATACACCTAACATAAACCTTCCAGTCCTGGAAATACATCACCTTTCTTGGTACGTTCGCGTTTAATTAATTCTTTTGTAAATGTCTCTGTCCACTGAGAGAGCCTGTGTGTCTTAGCAGTTTCCCAATTGTCCTGGCCTACGCTTTTGGAGCTGCAGACACAGTCCCGGGTCTCCTCACAGATGTGGCCCTGCTCAGCACACCCCACTCTCAGCCCCACATTGCCTGCCTAGTGACCCTTGTGGTATTGGTCCCTCGCCAGTATGACTATTGTCCCACTTTCTCTTGGATCCAAGAATGATTGTAAGTTGTAGGTACATAATGCTGAACCCACAAAGGCAGCTCTGCTCTAATGACTTCTGTTCTTTTTGCCAGCTCAGCCTGCTCAAGTCGCCCCCAAAGAAGAGGAAATGACAGAGTCCGAGGTAAATCCAGCATCTTGTCCTCTGCCTACGGGCACAGTTCAAGAGCACTCAGTCACCGTACCATGCATTTAAAAGGCTGCATACAGAAGACAGAAACATTATTTTCTCCAAAGGAAGTAGTGTCAGAAGATTAAAACTATGGAGGATCAAATGTGGTTGTTTGAAGTCCATTCAGAGAGGCTAAAACTGGGCCTCACGTTTTGGTTTCATTCTTCTTCTTCTTTTTTTTTTAAATTATTCTTTTTTGTTTTTCAAGACTGGGTTTCTCTGTGTAACAGCCCTAGCTGTCCTGGAACTTGCTCTATAGATCAGGCTGGCCTCCAGCTCAGAGATCCTCCTACTTCTGCCTCCTGAGTGCTGAAATTAAAGGTGTGTTCCACCAGGGTACAAGCTGATGACATCACTTTCATTATATATAAGGCCCAAAGCAACAATTTCCTCGCAGAAACAAGCCTTTTGTTGTCACATGGGTCAATGAGAACAATGCTGTGTGTGGCTCCTTACACTTGATAAACCTACATTTTTGTTTGTTTTGATTAAAGATAAAACAGTATTGTCAAAGTAGTCCAGAATCAGAAGGAACACAAATAAACATCAGTAGCAAAATAAAGACAGCCTGGCGTCATGTGCAATGGGCACTGAGCAGTGGTAAGGGAGTGTATCTAAACACAGTGTGCAAGAGCTGTGCAGCAGTAAGGGAGTGTATCTAAACACAGTGTACAGTGCTGTGCAGCAGTAAGGGAGTGTATCTAAACACAGTGTACAGAGCTGTGCAGCATTAAGGGAGTGTATCCCTATGCTCATCAACACAGAGAGAAAGAATTTGGAGACATCAGTACATACCAACTGCCTCCATTCTTATGACATTCAGACTTGCAAAAGGTGTTAGAAGTCAGAATAGTGGCCCGGGTGTCAGGTATATGTTCATAGTCAGGTACTTGGGAGGTGAAAAGAGCAGAAGGTCAATGTCAGCTTTGGCTGCTGAGCAAGTTCAAGGGCAGCTTGGGTGATGAGAACATTTCCTGCTCAACATCAGCACAGTCAGAATAGTAGTTAGCTCTGAGAGGGTGGAAGGTTACCCAAGAGAAGGCATTAGGTCACGTGGAGTACTGAGGACAACTTTGTTTGACTTTATTTGGTGGACAACCGTGTTGTAATTTATAAAATTGTCAGGCTGAGCACACAAGACTTTCTGCTATTGAATTGTCAGATATAACCCTCCCTTCATAGCATCTTTATTTAAATTGAGGTAAATACTGAAGGATTTTTTCCCCCTCAACTGTGTTTCTTCTAATTTTTGCCTCAGGCACAGTGAGATAATTTTCAAGTGAACACAGTACGATGAGGAGACAACACTAAAGCCATTTTAAACCCAGGTCCCATTTTTGTGAGCATCTAACCTAGCAAGTACCCCACCCCAGGCATCTTACCCCATATACCTGAAAATTCTGAGAAAGGCCACAAATGGCCCAAATTCTGCCTGGCTGTCCGGATACCTGAAACAGCCAATCAGAAGCTAGACAAACAAGTTTTAACAGTTACCAGGTGTTTTTGTGGAAAGTTACAAAAATGCACTCTTGACTTAGAGCCACCTACAACATAAGCATAACTCCAAGGCATGTAACTCCCCGCTTTCGCTTGTGGTTTCTCCCTTTAAAGACCCCCTGCACTGAGAGCCAGGGGCCTTTGTCCCTCACCTACTGTGTTGGTGTGTGGGATGAAGCCCCTGTTCCCAAGCTTGTAAAACTATAAAGAAACCTTGTGTGATTGCCTTGGAAAGTCAGCTCCGTGGGGGTCCCATTGGGGGTCCCACAACTCAGGCATAGCACAGCCAGCACAGGGTCAAGAAATAGAACGAGAGGGCTCAGAAAGTAAAGGCACTTGCCACCAGATTTGAAGACCTGATTCAGTCTGGGCCCCATGTGCCGGATGGAAGGGACTGAATCAAATAATCCATGTGATCTGTCTGTATCTGGCTTTATTTACTTAATATTATGATTGTCAGATTTATTCATGTTCAATTGTTATATCTAGTTATAGCTCACATTCTCTCAACTAACAAATTAGCTTGTATTTATGCATATTGCTGATAGCCATTTAATTGGTTTTATTTTTAGAAATTATAAATATGAAAAATGGGAAATTTCTTATAAATGGCAGGCTGTGTATAAAGTTCATTGTTTTCTAAAGTGATTGTCCAAAATGACATTGTGTCGAAGAGACTGTCACCCCAAGTAACCTTCTTGATTGTTGTTGTTGGCTTGTCTGTGGTGTTGGGGGTTGAACACAGGGCATCATACATGAGCACTCTACCCCTGAGCTAGGAGCCGCCCCCTTTAAAATTTAAATAGAAGGTTCAGTGTGCGTGGGCATGTTAAGGAGCCCATAGAGTCTCAAAGAGGGAGTCAGGTCTGAGCTGGTATTGCAGGCAGTGTGAGCTGCCTGGTGTGGCTGCTGGGGCTGAGCGTGGTCCTCTGTGAGTTCTCAGTCCTGAGCCTCCCCCAGCCCTGATGAATAGTGGTCCTCTGTGAGTGAGTTCTCAGTCCTGAGCCTCCCCCAGCCCTGATGAATATATTTTCTCTATTTACAAGCTTGCCTTTTCAACATAATAGGGATTCATTTGTGGTAAAGGAGAAACTCAAAATTTAAATACATAAAAATCATATTCTTGTCAGGCATAGTGGCTCATTTATACCTTTAACCACAGCACTCAGGAAGCAGAGGCAGGAGGATCTCTGTAAGTTACAGGTTACCTTGTCTACATAGGGAGTTTCAGATCCTGTCTCCAACAAATCAAAAGTACAGCAAAACCAGAAAACAAAATCACAGTCTTCTTTTATTATAGTCACCCAAATTAGTTAATAAAACATGACAGTGAGCCCAAAAGTAGAGTTCTTCTAGAGACAAATCAACATCTCACATGTTACCTCTTTCATAGTAGTTGCCAAGGCTATTTTGCTACAGCAAACTTAAAAAAAAATTTAAGCTTATTTGTATGTGTCTGTATATGTATGAGCATATATTACATGTGTGTGCAGGTACTCAGATGGAGTAAGAAGGTGTCTGTATTTTGTGTGTCTGAGCATGTAGTACATGTGTGCAAGTACACGGATGCAGGAAGGTGTCTGTATATGTGTGTCTGAGCATATATTACGTGTGTGTGTGTGTGTGTGTGTGTGTGTGTGTGTGTGTGTGTGTGCAGGTACACGGATGCAGGAAGAAGGTGCCTGTATATGTGTGTCTGAGAATGTATTACATGTGTGTGCAGGTACACGGATGCAGGAAGGTGTCTGTATATGTGTGTCTGAGCATATATTACATGTGTGTGCAGGTACACGGATGCAGGAAGAAGGTGTCAAGTGTGATCCCCTCTGTGTCTTGCTGTCTGTTCTTTTGAGGCAGGGTGTCTCCCTGAAACTGGTATTCTCTCAGGTGGGCTGGAGCCCCTGGCTTTACCCTCCTCAGAGCTGGGTTACAGGCATGTTTGGGATATCTGGCTTGTTATATGTGCTGTGGAATGTGAACTCAGATCCTTGTGATTGAGTAGTAAATGTTCATAACTGCTGAGCCAATCCACCAGCTCTAATGGAGATTTTTCCCCTTTTATTGCGAATAGATTTTTTCTCATATAATATATCCTGGTTATAGTTTCCCCTCCTCCTCCTCCCAACTCCTCCTCACCTCCCCTCCCATCCAGGTCCACCCCTTCTGTCTCATTAGAACGTAAACCAAGCTTCTAGTGGATTATATATGATATGATGTGATAAAAAACTAGCACATTGAAATAGGACAAAACAAACAGGAGGACAAGAGCCCAAGAAAAGGCACAAGAAACAGGTATAGACACAGAGACACACTCATTCACACACTCATGAATCTTGTGAAAACATTGAACTGGAGACCATAACATTTACCCAAAGGACCTGTAGGGTTAAAAGAGAGAAAAAAGATATAAGTAAGATATACATAAATAAATAAAATAAAAAAGTAAAATTAAGTTGGTCATGGTGGCATACACCTTTATTCCCAGCACTCAGGAGGCAGGCAGATCCCTGAGTTCAAGCCAGCCTGGTCTACAGAGTAAGTTCCAGGAAAGCCAGAATTACATAGAGAGACCCTGTCTCAAAAAACCAAAACCCAAAAAAGGCAATAAATAAATAAATAAATAGCAAGAAAAAAAGCAAAAAGCCCTGACACAACATTATGAGCAAGGAGCCAGCGGTGCTGTGGGTTCCTATTCTGTCCGTTGTTTACTGCTGGGCGTGCTGCTGCCCCAAGAGCAATTGGTTTCTGCAGTGCGGCGAGACCCTGGGAGATGTAGTTATGATAGATAATAAATATGCATATCAAAATTTATCCCTGCTTTTAGGTTTTCCTCCTGAGTGCTTTTGAGGGATGAACTAGTGACTTTTTGGATTTTGTTTGCTTTTACCCTTTTGGCACCCTCTGTTGGGGAAACCCCCTGCTGAGCTTTCCATTTGGTTGCTCTGTTCTTCATTTCCAGATTTCAGTTTGGGTTTTCTTTAGTACTTCTGTCTTCTTGCAGAATCCCTCTCTTATGTCATGTGTCTCCGTCCTTATTGGAATCAACTGTTTGTGTTTTCTTAGAATTCTTTTCAAAAGTTTATTTTATTCTCTAAGTTCTTTGAACATACATATCCTTCTTTTAAGTTATTTTTGGGGTGATTTCATCCAGCTCACTTTCATTGGATGCCATAACTATAGAGTAGTAATTTTGAAGGAGTTAGATTGCCTTGGTTTTTCATGTTACTTGTGTGTATATTGTGTTGTGACTTGTACATCTGGAGCTAGATTGTTGGTTGAGTTTATTTCTTTTTTAACTTACCCTTATTGTTTCAGAGTGGGCATTTGTGTGTTATGAATGTCTCTTTATGGTCTTCACTGTGAAGGATACTAGGTTATTGTTATCACCTGGTAGAGACAGGGGTGGCGGCAAGCGTCTGGGCAGGTGTACTAACCTCACTTATGGAAGGTGCAGGCCAGTTGCTTCCCAGAAACTGTGGTTACTGGTGTGACAGTAGGTAGGAGTGAGGCTTCCCGGACATGCTGAACTCACCAGGACAGCAGGAAAGGCTAGAACCTCCCTAAAATGCTGTGCCCACCGGGGGAGCAGGTAAGGCTGAAGTCCCAGGCACACTTTGCTCATCAGGTGTGATGCCATTTTTCTTTATGACTGAACAGAATTCTACTGTGTATACATACCACTGACTCTACTTTCTGTTAAATGATCATAAATGGACAGAATGTTGCTAATATGGTATTTGTTTTATTTTGTCTAGAAAATGGGCACTGTTTTTATAACCTCTTTTTTCTGAATGATTTCTGAATGAGATTCCTTATGTTTTTTCTGTGTCTTTAAAATGGATTAACTTCAGGTTGAGTGTTCGTGTGTTGTTACAGGGAACCGTGACATTCAAAGACGTGGCTATAGATTTCACAGCAGAAGAATGGGAGCGATTGGACCCTACTCAGAGGAGCCTGTACCGGAGCGTGATGCTAGAGAACTACAGCAACCTTGTCACAGTGGGTGAGATGGTGTCCTTTCCCTAGTCACAGTGGGTGAGATGGCATCCTCTTCCTAGTCACAATGGGTGAGATGATATTGTTTTTCTAAAATAGGTGAAACTTCAGAATGTTGGTGAGGTCTGCCTTGAGATGCCTTTGTTACTGGTCCCGTCCATGCTGTTACTTCAAAGCAGAATCCTGATGATATTTGAGGGTCTAGCATTCCCATAAGTTGGAACACCTGGCTTCCCCAGGCCTATCTCATTTCCTGGGTAGGTTTTTGTTACTGGTTTATAAACCAAAATTGGTGTCATCTCCCTCAACAGGCTCTCCACTCACCAAACCTGAGGTGATTTTCAAGTTGGAACAAGAGGAAGAACCATGTGTGGTGGAGAAAGAAGTGTTAAAGAGATACTGTCCAGGTTAGTGGGAGGGAAGCAGCCCAAATGAGGAGAGAGGATCAATAAATGGTTAATCAGTCTAAGATGTTTCCCAAGGTGTTTTCCTAAAGCATGTAGACTTGTGGAATAGCAGTTAGCGTGAACTTGCTTATAACTGTGATGTCATTGCCCTTTAAAACTTTTAATTATGTTTTTATTTGTGTGTGGGGGGGGGTATATGTATGCATGCACATGTATGTGGGTGCATGTGTGCTGTGGTGCACATGTTGAGGTTTTAGGACTAGTTATACAATAGAACTTGGGTCGTCAGGCTTGGTAGCAAATGCCTTTTATCTGTTGAGCCATTTCATCAGCTCAAGGTGTTATTTTCAATACTATTTATTTGTGTGTGTGTGTGTGTGTGTGTGTGTGTGTGTGTGAGAGAGAGAGAGTTGTTTTTGAGTGTATGCAGGTGCATGTATGTGTGAAGACAAGCATGTGGAGGCCAGAGGATAACCATATTCTAAAGTTCTGGAAGTTAGTACTGTATTATATCTTTTTGGCAGCACACAATTGAACTTATAACATCTTTCTTTTCTATTATTGTTCTTATTGTATTGAGACAGGGTCTCATATAACCCAAGCAAGCCTTGAACTTGCTATATAGCTGAAACTGACCTGTCTGCCTCAACCTTCCAAGGGCTGAACTTTTAGGCATAGTCTACAATGCTTTGCTTTTATGTGTTCATTTTTGAGTTTTCGTGCAGTGTTTGGATATTTCTTACTAATTTTTTCTTAGTCTTTTGCAAATTACTTGATAAATATAGTTTTCTTTTTATGTTCCCTAAATAGCTATTTATGTATATAAGAAGGTTGTTAAAATTAATATTCCTTTCTTTCACATAAAACAAAGGTAATTGAATTTCTAGATATCTGCTTCTATTCATATTTTCTTTCCTGGAATTTTCTTGTAAAAACTGAGGACATAAGAGATACATGTCGGGTTGGAGTGATAGCTCAGCAGTTAGGAGCACTGGCTGCTTTTCTGGAGGACCCAAGTTGGATTCCCAGCACCCACATGGCAGCTTACTGTGACAGGATCATGGGCCCTTTGTTCATCCCGCCCGGCTAGCATACACCCGAAATAATCACACAGAAATTGTATTAATTAAATCACTGCCTGGCCCATTAGCTCTAGCCTCTTATTGGCTAACTCTCATCTTGATTAACCCATTTCTATTAAATCTGTGTATCACCACGTGACTGTGGCTTACCAGCAAGATTCTAACCTACATCTATCTCAGGCAAAAGATTTGTGGCATCTGTCACTCTGCCCTTCTTCCCAGCACTCAGTTCTGTCTTCCCCGCCTACCTAAGTTCCTGCCCTATCAAAAGGCCAAGGCAGTTTCTTTATTCAACCAATGAAAGCAGCACATAGACAGAAGGACCTCCTACACCAGCTTACAACTGTCCGTTAACTCCAGTTCCACGGGATCTGATGCCTTCTTCAGGCATCAACAGGCAGCAAGCATGCACACGGTACACTTAAATGCATACAGGCAAAACACCCATATATATACAGTGAAAACATTTTTAAGATTAAATTAAAATAGGAGATATGGATTTGAGACTTGTTTACTTGTGGGAATATGTTTTCAAGTATACTTGGTATTTCAATATTGGAAAAAAATCTTCAGTGATATTTATTTGCTATTTATTTTAGGAGAAATTTGGGAAGTTGATGAGCACCAGAAAACCCAGAACAAACTCTTGAGACAAGTTTTCAAGGAAACAGTGACTGATGAAGCCAGTGAATGTCCTAAGAAATTTGCAAATACATTTTCTCCAAATGCAGATTCCATTCCTTCCAGACACAATCTCTGTGAACATGACTGCTTTGGAAAGTGTTTAGAACATAATCTTGATGATCATAATAATGCAAAATGCCCAATAACAGAGGAACACTTTGAATATGATGATGCTATGAAATCATTCAATAATAGCTCACCCTATTTTGTAGTGACCCCCTTTAAGTGTAACCATTGTGGAAAAGGCTTTAGTCAAACCTTGGACCTTATTAGACACTTGAGAATTCATACTGGTGGGAAACTCTATGAATGCCACCAGTGTGGAAAAGGATTTACCCTCAAGGAAAAACTTATTAATCATCATAAACTTCATAGTAGGGAACAGTGTTATGAGTGTAATGAATGTGGGAAAACTTTCATTAAAATGTCAAATCTCATTAGACATCAAAGAATTCATACTGGAGAGAAACCGTATACATGCAAGGAATGTGGGAAATCCTTCAGCCAGAAATCTAATCTCATTGATCATGAAAAAATTCATACTGGTGAGAAACCCTATGAATGTAATGAATGTGAAAAATCCTTCAGCCAGAAACAAAGCCTCATTGCACATCAAAAAGTTCACACTGGGGAGAAACCGTATGCATGCAATGAATGTGGTAAAGCCTTCCCTCGAATTGCTTCCCTTGCTCTTCATATGAGAAGTCATACAGGAGAAAAACCTTATAAATGTGATAAATGTGGAAAAGCCTTTTCTCAGTTTTCCATGCTTATTATACATGTAAGAATCCATACAGGTGAGAAGCCCTACGAATGCAATGAGTGTGGAAAAGCCTTCTCTCAAAGCTCAGCACTCACTGTGCATATTAGAAGTCACACAGGTGAAAAACCCTATGAATGTAAGGAATGTAGAAAATCCTTCAGCCATAAGAAAAACTTCATTACACACCAGAAAATTCACACTAGAGAGAAACCTTATGGATGTAATGAATGTGGAAAAGCTTTTATTCAGATGTCAAATCTTGTTAGGCACCAGAGAATTCATACCGGAGAAAAACCTTATATATGTAAGGAATGTGGCAAAGCTTTTAGCCAGAAATCAAATCTCATTGCTCATGAAAAAATTCATTCTGGAGAGAAACCCTATGAATGTAATGAGTGTGGGAAAGCCTTCAGCCAGAAACAAAACTTTATTACACATCAGAAAGTTCATACTGGAGAGAAACCTTATGATTGCAATAAATGTGGTAAAGCCTTTTCTCAGATTGCATCCCTTACTCTTCATTTGAGAAGTCACACAGGAGAAAAGCCTTATGAATGTGATAAGTGTGGGAAAGCCTTCTCTCAGTGCTCATTACTTAATTTACATATGAGGAGTCACACAGGTGAGAAACCTTACGTATGTAATGAATGTGGGAAAGCCTTCTCTCAAAGAACTTCCCTTATTGTGCATATGAGAGGCCATACTGGTGAGAAACCCTATGAATGTAACAAGTGTGGAAAAGCCTTCTCCCAAAGCTCATCCCTCACCATCCACATACGAGGTCACACAGGTGAGAAGCCCTTCGACTGCAGCAAATGTGGAAAAGCCTTCTCTCAGATCTCATCTCTTACTCTTCATATGAGGAAACACACGGGAGAAAAGCCCTATAACTGTATTGAGTGTGGCAAAGCTTTCAGCCAAAAGTCACACCTTGTTAGACACCAGAGAATCCACACTCACTAGATATTCCATGAACACTGTGAGTGTAGGAACTGCCTTCCAATGAAATGAACACCTGATAGTACACTACATGATCCATTCTAGAGCAGAAAGCTATGAGTACAGGAAAACCTTGTGAAGAACCCACATATTTATTAGAGAATTCTCAGTGAGACCACCAATTGTATGAGGAAACTGACTGAGGAACTGTGAATAAACTGATACCTAAATCTCATTTCAATCTGAAAGTATCTGCTGAGTATCAACATACTTGAGCTCCTTGTATGAAGCAAGATAAGAAGATAAGCAAGATAAGAAACAACTTTTGGAGGCAATATGAGACTATGAAAAAGTAGGTTTTGTACAAGAATGTGTCAATAAGAAAACCTAATAATTGGGTGACATGTCTACAAAGTTGCAAAACTTGCTGATGGTTACAAAAGAATACCTGAAAAATCAAGTTAGGAAATTATAAAAATACAAGTACTGTTCCAATTTTCTACCTCTGTTATACTTCCACTCAAAATTTACACATCGGTTGTTATGAAATTCGTAAACTGGTTTCAGAGTAACACAGCAAGGGTAAGGACGAAAAATAAGAACCAAACTTTTTTTTGACAAAACAAGTAGGGAAGATGCTCACTCCTAGATATCATTACATTATTTAAAGTTTTCCTCATTTAAATTCTTTTGAGTGAATAAGCAAACTATTGGAAATAAATTAAGGATTAGCATAGAAATTCAAGACTTGGCCATTTCATGTGTGGGTAATGCTACTGAAATCATTGGAATGAGTCTAGCCTATTCAATATGTATAAAATTTATATGACCCAAACATGTTACCCCCTCAACCATACAAATATGACTCAGCTCATAGGGTGCTTGCTGCCAAGCCTGACCCCTGACTTTGATCCCCAGAATCCACATGGTAGAAGGAGAGAACTGACTCCCATAGTTGTCTCATGACCTCTAATGGCATACCATGTCATGCATGTCCACACACATACATACACACACAGACACACATACACACAAATAATCCAAATAGATAAAATCCGAAAACTATGATAGAAATTAAGCAGAATATGTCACTTTAGATTAAGAGTATTAAAAATAACCCCACAAAGATGGAATAGTCTATTTTCTTTTAGTGTGTAACCCATGTATGTATGCAAAGAGAAATGTATCAGTATGTTCCCAGAGTCATGGTTTGTTTTGCTCTGAATTGTAACATTTCCATCAGCAAATAGATCGGTATGTTTATTTCTATGATAGGATACTATGCTGTAAAATATACAAAATTCACATGTGATTACATGGATAGGCCACAATATTTTGAGAGGAAAGAGTAAAATACACAATAAATAATGGTATAATATTTATAACTTAATAAACTAGTTCAAAGAACAGTAAGGATATTATTCATGATCCATTTATGGTATTAGTTGCCTTTGAGGATGTAGAAGGGTTTTGCGGGAGTTGTTACATTGATCTGTAATACTTCTTTAATAAAAGGATGAAAGCGAATATTACAGAGCTGACAAGTCTGATTGTCAAAATTTAAGACTTTAAAGCTTTAGTTGCCTGCTTTTTCTAAAGTAAGTCAATAGGTGCAGGATGCGTGGCCTTATAGAATTGATTTTAAAATATCATTTATGTGTTATTTTTATTTAATCTTTATATAAACAAGACTGATTGAAGATGCTTTGTTTACTGCAATGGTTGGATGTTTCCTTAAAGACTCATGTGTTGAGAGCTTGAACTCCAAAACATGTATTCAGGAGTGATTTGATCTTCGTGTTCAGACCTCTTCAAATGTTTAGCCCACTAATGGATTCCTAGTTGATAATGGATGGTGGAAGCTGTAGGAGGTGATACTTAGTAAGAGGAAGTAGGTCTTCTGAGGCATGCCTAAAAAGGGGGTGATACCTTCCCCTTCAATTCAGTTGATTTTCTTAGGCCTTCTTGTCATAGTAACAGAAAGCTGGCTCAGAGTCTTTGTAACATTAATTGGGATAATGAGAATCATCAGTATATAACATTTAAGGCCAGCTGTAAAACAGTAAAGCCTGCTGTCTTTTACATAGTTCTTTCCCTAGTTGAAAGCAGTAGAAAAGCAAAAACAAAATATTTTCTGGAATATTTGACTCTCAATTTTAAAAAAGAAAAGTCCAGTTGCATTTGGGTTGGTTTTGAAGAGGAGAGGAACTGTGCACAATGCCAGATAAGGACTGGTTCCCGGATCACAGCAGGAGCAAAGTTCGGTGTATCGCAACAAAGCTTTTTCGAGTGTCTATATTCTTGTATATTTTTAATTTTATTCTTGTTGTTAGAGGTTTTGTGGGTAGTGTTAAGACACCTCTGTAGCCCAGGCTGGCCTCAAATGTAGGTAGGCTTTTTCTTTTCCACCTGCCAGTTCCCAAATAACTGCTATTCAGACTCTATTAATTGTAAATGCTCAGCTGATATCTCAGGCTTATTACTAACTAGCTCTTACAACTTAAATTAACCCATTTCTTTTTGTTTGTTTTTTGTTTATTATTATTATTAAAAATTTTCACCTCCTCCCCTCCTCCTATTTCTCTTTCCCTCCCTCCATTCCCCTTCCCCCTCCCTCTCCAGTCCAAAGAGCAGTCAGGGTTCCCTATCCCGTGGGAAGTCCAAGGTCCCCCCCCATCCAGTTCTAGGAAGGTAAGCATCCAAACAGACTAGGTTCTCACAATGCCAGTACATGCAGTAGAATCAAAACCTAGTGCCATTGTCCTTGGCTTCTCAGTCAGCCCTCATTGTCAGCCACGTTCAGAGAGTCCGGTTTGATCACATGCTCCATCAGTCCCAGTCCAGCTGGCCTTGGTGAGTTCCCATTAGATCAACCCCACCATCACAGTGGGTAGGCACACCCCTCGCAGTCGTGACTTCCTTGCTCATGTTCTCCTTCTGCTCCTCATGAGGACCTTGGGAGCACAGTCCAGTGCTCCAATGTGGGTCTCTGTCTCTATCTCCATCCATCGCCAGATGAGGGTTCTATGGTGATATGCAAGATATTGATCAGTGTGACTATAGGATAGGGCCAGTTCAGGTGCCCTCTCCTCAGCTGCTCAAGGAACAAGCTGGGGACATCTCCTTGGACACCTGGGAACCCCTCTAGAGTCCAGTCTCTTGCCAACCCTAAAATGGCCCCCTTAATTAAGATCTATACTTCCCTGCTCCCATATCCACTCTTTCTCCATCCCAACCATCCCATTCCCCCAAGTTCTCCCCATCCTCCCCTTCTCACTTCTCTCTACCCATCTCCCCTTACCCCCACCCTCAAGGCTCTGGAATTTTTGACTAGTTATCTTGTCTACTTCCAATATCCAGGAGGATAATTACATCTTTTTCTTTGGATTCACCTTCCTATTAGGTTCTCTAGGATCACGAATTATAGGCTCAATGTCCTTTATTAATGTCTAGAATCCACTGAGTGAGTACATACCATGTTCATCTTTTTGGGTCTGGGTTACCTCACTCAGGATAGGGTTTTCTATTTCCATCCATTTGCATGCAAAATTCAAGATGTCATTGTTTTTTACTGCTGAGTCGAACTCTAATGTGTAGATGTCCCACACTTTATCCATTCTTCCATTGAGGGGCATCTAGGTTGTTTCTAGGTTCTGGCTATTACAAATAATGCTGCTATGAACATAGTTGAACAAATGCTTTTGTAGTATGATAGGGTATCTTTTGGGTATATTCCCAAGAGTGGTCTTGCTGAATCCTAGGGTAGGTTGATCCCGAATTTCCAGAGAAACCACCACACTGGTTTCCAAAGTGGTTGTACAAGTTTGCATTCCCACCAGCAATGGATGAGTGTTCCCCTTACTCCACATCCTCTCCAGCAAAGGCTATCATTGGTGTTTTTGATTCTAGCCATTCTGACAGATGTAAGATGGTATCTCAAAGTTGTTTTGATTTGCATTTCCCTGATCGTTAAGGAGGTTGAGCATGACCTTAAGTGTCTTTTGGCCATTTGAACTTCTTCAGTTGAGAATTCTCTGTTCAGTTCAGAGGCCCATTTTTTAATTGGGTTAATTAGCATTTTAAAGTCTAGTTTCTTGAGTTCTTTATATATTTTGGAGGTCAGACCTTTGTCTGTTGCAGGGTTGGTGAAGATCTTCTTCCAATCAGTAGGTTGCCTTTTTGTCTTAATGACAGTGTCCTTTGCTTTACAGAAGCTTCTCAGTTTTAGGAGGTCCCATTTATTCAATGTTTCCCTTATTGTCTGTGCTTCTGGAGTTATACATAGGAAGTTGTCTCCTGTGCCCATATGTTGTAGACTACTTCCCACTTTCTTTTCTATCAAGTTCAGTGTGTTCAGATTGGTATTGAGGTCTTTAATCCATTTGGACTTGAGTTTTGTGCATGGTGATAGATATGGATCTATTTTCATTCTTCTACAGGTTGACATCCAGTTCTGCCAACACCATTTGTTGAAGATGCTTTCTTTCTTCCATTGTATACTTTTAGCTCCTTTGTTGAAAATCAGGTGTTCATAGGTTTGTGGGTTAATATCTGTGTCTTCTATTTGATTCCATTGGTCGACTTCTCTGTTTTTATGCCAGTACCAAGCTGTTTTCATTACTGTAGCTCTGTAATAGAGTTTGAAGTCAGGGATGGTAATGCCTCCAGAAGTTTCTTTATTGTATAAGATTGTTTTTGCTATCCTGGGTTTTTTGTTTTTCCATATGAAGCTGACTATTGTTCTCTCAAGGTCTGTGAAGAATTTTGTTGAGATTTCTATTCTATGTGTTGCCACATGGCTCGTGGCTTTATCTGTCCTCCAGCGTGTCTTGCTCCCTCTGTGTCTCCTTGCAACTCCTGATTCCACCCTTCTTCCAGCATTCTCAGTTTGGCTCTCCTGCCTAACCTTATCTTACTCAGCTATTGGTTAATCAGCTGAAGATGGATGCTAAAAGAAATCCCACACTAGCTCAGAATTGAGTATAATAAAGAGTTATTTATTTAGGGGTAGATGCACAGATCACAGTCCTCTGCACGAATGGGCAACAGAAACTGAATACAGCAGCCGGAAGAGAGAGGGAACATGTACTTTACATCAGCATTTATAGTATAAGAGGCCATGCCCAAGTGGGCAGGTAACTTAAAGGCTGCTGGCTGTAGGATTTCCTACAGCATATTCCCTTTTTTTAAAATAAGAGTGTTCTAAGCCTAATACAAAATTATATACAATAAGAACAAATATCAGGCATAAAAATTAGAATTACGACCAGCATAAACAATATCAAGCAAGAAACATTTGATAAATGTTTCAATAATTATCCTATCCTGAGGAGTTTAAGTCTTGTATTATAAATAACTTGGCCAAGTTATGAGGGGAAAGTAACTAATGACTAGTCTTCAACCCCATCAAAGACCCGAGAAGGGAAACAATATTACTTGAGTAAGCAGGAACTGCAATCAAGCAACTTCCAAAATGTGCAACAAATGACAGAGACTACCTGGGCAATCACCCAAAGTCTCATTTGCAATGTTGAAATAATCAACTTTAGCTAAGGCTTAGAGTAACTGACAGACCAATTTCAGAGGCAGGAAAATTTTCAAACCATCTTGGCAAGATTTGACAGCCTTTTTCTTGTATCCTGCTTGTCCCATCCGGACATCATGCATTTTGTCAGTGGTCGAGGCATGGGCAGTTCCTTGCCCGAAGGCCACTTTTGTCAAGAAGAAAATAACCTCCAAGTGAAGTGTCTTCACTGCTGAACATTCTCTTGGGAATAGATCGGTGCTGCCAGGAGCAATCATGTCTCATGTCACCAGAGCCCTAAGTTATTTAAATGCCATATTCTATAGTTCTTTGAAGTGGTTGAAGAGTACCTATCTATGCAGAATACAGTCTCTATATCTGAAGAGCCTGATTAGTCTAAGTATGACAAACATGAATGACTATTGACCTGTAATTTTAAATACCTATATAATTTAAAGACTGAGAGTTCATATTAGAATACTAAACAATCTTTAAACAACTGTGCAACAAATGAGGACAATGACCTCAAAATGTAAACAATATATGAGTACCTTGATCAGAGGTAAAATGTATATTGCAATATGATAAATATATCCTAAAATTGTATCAATTTACAAAATATCTTAAGCAGAGGTAGAAACATGCATGCATACAATATGACAAAATAACTTTGCCTAGGTACACAAATATTATAAAAAATAGGAACATATTCAATATAATTTAAGTTTGTATCCATATATAAGGATCTATACAAATATAAATTGCTTATAAAAAATAGCTCACAATTATTCACTAATCTATTATCCCATCCAATTTCCTTTTTTTCGAAGAGATCCCTGAGACTACATAATTTCCCCCAATCCCTAACTCTATACTAATTATAATCAATCCCTAAATGATGTCCCTCACCCTGAGGACAAACTTTGTTGGGAGAGAGCACGGTGTCTTCTAGAATCACTTCCAGCAATAATGGGGATGATATTATTTCTATGGGATCCTGTGA